TGTACCCCTCCGCCTCCAATTCAAGCCTTGACTTTTCCAGGTTGAGAATCTTTAAAGCCTCCTCGCGCTCAGCAAGCAACGCCTGTAACTGGCGAACCTGGGCCAGGAGGGAGGTCGAGATTTCGGTCGCGAATTCGATGTCATGGACGCGGGTCGAAGATTGGTTGCGCTGTTTGCGAGACGGTACGCTCACTTTACTTGGGGAATTCGTTGCTTGACCGGCGAACAGGGCAGGACTGATTGGTGACTGCGAAGGATGATTAGCAACCTGCGGACGCTCAGCGGCTTATACAATAGCCTCAGCATACCTTTTCGTATGGAGTGCCCAAGTGACTGTCCTCACCACCCGCCATGCGTTTCGGGGCAAGGAAAGCCCGCGCAGTTTCCCGGCCAATTTCATTGTACTCCTTCTCCAAATCCGCGAGCTTTTGACGAAGGTCGGGCCCAATCTGGCCCGCCTCCTGCTGCTGTTCGACTTCCTTCAACTTCTCCTCGAGCTCCTTCTGCTGCTCAATGAGAGCAGTGCCGAGCTTGCTGGCCTCCTCGAGCCTACGCTCTGTCTCTGCCAGATGCGCTTCGAGGGCTCGTTTTGCCTGCGCCGGGGAGGATGCATCTAGACTGTACAGCTGGGTGTCAAAGGATGAGTACCGGTGCGAATCGCGAGGAACGGCGCCCTCCTGGGAGGCGGAAACGAAAGGGTCTTCGATTGTCGACATGTTGCCAGTTGTCCCTCGTCCACCATCGGCAGTAGCGTTGATCATGCGGCCTGAAGAGACAGCCACTCTTGCGGCTGATCGAACAGCAGGCTGTGCCTAATCCCGTAGGGTGAGGGTACAGCCAACGTCAATAGCCCGCACAGTCGTCGCTTCGTTTCTCGTTTTCTTCGTTTTAATTTTCGGTCATCCTCCGGTTATGCGACGATCTCTTTGCCGGCCTGCTTGCTTATTCTTAGTTTTCCTCTCCAATGCGAATGGCGATTCGGTGAGCCGACCTGCGACCCGATCTTCGCAACACCTCTAGGCTGGAAGAGTTCGCGACCGTCAAACAATAGGGGATGCGCGTTGGTGACCGATGATTCGCTGCGGTGGCCGCGTCGATTGCCGACCGAAGAAGACAACAAAAACACTTTGGTATCGGCGGATTACGATACCGGGAGCCGAAGGTGGGCGGTTAGGCCTCGTCTGTGACGAAGAGACTTGGGGCAGGGAAGTGAAAACCTGCTCCAAGAGAAGCTTCGGACAACAAACGCGTGCCTGTCCAGTAAACGCAGAGTAACCTTGTGCGTGTGCGACCAGATGTGCGCCTTCGGGACGAGGCAGCGGCGTGCGGGCGAAACAAGGGAGTCGCCGAGAAGCGGGCGCAGAATGAGAACCAAGGACGGAGGGAAGGAGGATCCAGGAAATTACGGGTACAGGCGGATGCAATGAAGCGTCCACACTATACAATAGATAAGATCAAAAAAGATATAAGTAGGGATTATTAAGAGTGAAAATGAGGTGGTAGAAGAAAAGGAAGGACCAAGGGTCAATGCGAAAGGAAGGGTACGTAGGGAAAGGAAAGTAAGGCAAAGAAAGAAGTTGGTTTTAAGTCCGAAGGGGAAGTAGACACAAGGAAAATGAAAAAGGGCAATTGGATGAAGGGGGAAGTTGGAAATGGTGGAAGGGGAGATTGGGGGGAAAGGAAGAGAAGGGAAGGGGGGAAATGAGGGAGTGATTCAAGGCAGAGAGTGCCAGTTGTTGATGTTGTTGTTGGTCAACGAGACGAGAGCGACTCGTTCGTTGGGCGGGGGAAGGAGAGGAGGGAGGGAGGGAGGAGGAGGGAGAGAGGGACGGATGGACGAGAGTCAGTCACCCTAACCAGTAGTAACCTAACTACCTCACTTAACTCACTCACTACTCTTGCTCACTACTAATCTTGGGGTACCCTGAGTTAGTGGTAGTTAGTACTAAGAGTCGTGAGGAACGAGGGAGACACCAGAAAAGAAACTAACTAACCAAAGAAAAGGGAGCCCACCTCGGCAGGGGAATTAATTATTCTTCGGGGCACCGTTTGCCTCAGGTTCCCCTCCGGTCAGTACCGACCGTCAACAACAGTACCTCTCTCTGTCCTCTGTCTCTGTCTCTGTATCTCTTCTCTCTTGTCTCTTCTTAAACTACTAGAAACTCGCAGCTGTGCCTGTACCAGGATGGTAAAGTCCCCCAAGGCTAACGGCAAATAATTCCAAGAATTATTGTGGGCAGCAGAGCCAAAACAAATGGTGCCTGAAGCATTAATTGATCGGATACGTAATAGCAATGCTGGCCGATTGGGAGAGGGGGAGCCGATCTTGGGATCTGGCATTTATTGATTGTTTGACTTGACACCACATTCTCCATCCATCCATACATATACATACATACATACAGAGAGAAGCCCATATCGGAATAGAGACATGGGACAAGTCACGATCTACCGGGCTAGGGGTCTGTCATCAGCTAGCTTCCCTTGGAACCAGCCAAGCAACATTGAAGGTTATTCAGATGTCCACAAAGTACAAAGTAAACCAACTACTGGAGAGGGAACTAAGTAAGCCCTCCCGCACACGCGTAGCGAACAAACAACCCATTTTAAGTTGCAAGGGTGTGACCTGCCCGATGATCACCACCACCATCACATTCCCGCTCACTGCTAAACCAGTCGGGCGGGTTCCCCCTCCCCAAAAAACCATCCCATCCACGGTACCCGGTATTCAACAAGAAGAGGTACCCGTACCACAACTTTTGCAGATTCGGTAATACTACCTCGAGGTAGCCTTTCAGCTGGGTGAGGCTGGCCTGTTTGTTAGGTTTGCATGGATGCCTTTTTTTTCTCCTCTTCCCAGTCACCTGATGCCGATCGGGACATATCTATGGTCATGTGATCTGTAAGCCGAGCAGAACACTACTCTGTACTCAGTGGCAGTTCTCGCGCACCTTTACAAAGTACTATTGGGAGAGAAGAAAAGCAAAAAGACAGACTTAGTTTCAGCTGAATGCACAGCCCCAATGCTCAAATGCTATGTCCATTGTCACCTCGATCTGTCAATCTGCAGGTCCTGCAAATGTCGCACGTAGGGGATGAACCACGTGTCAATCACATTGGATGACGCATCATTCCAGAAACTCTCTCTCACCGAGAAGGGTGAGCTGTTCATTAGGTACCGGCTGTGAGGCTCTAGTTAAGATGTCAGATGGACGAAAGGACGAGAAAGAATAATAAAAAGAAAGTTTGACTCGGGTGAGTTGTGCAATTTCGATAGCATTGAATCTTATTGTGCGCCCCTTGCTCCCTTTGTACTCGGTTGCCAAGACCGTTGGAGAATCCAATCCTGAGATTCGAGTACGATTTACTGATCTTCCACTCGAGTACTATCTTCCACTCGAGTACTTAACTTCATGGATGTAACGCTACTTGGGCATAAGTCCATGCAGTGGTGCCCATGTAGTTTTGCTATGTGTCACGGTGCTATGCAGTGGTTGCATTATCCAGTTCTTTGAGTAGTATGCAAATCCATGGATTCTGCGTAGGGAACTGAAGGAAGACCATTTGAGAGAAGATGACAGAATTTGAAAGTGCAATGATGTTAATAGGTATCATGTATTGTACCAGAGTGGTAAATCGCCTCTGATATTATATCATTGTTAGCAAATTCAACATCGGCCTCTCAAAATTCCAGGGTTACTGTTCCGCTGCCGCCATTATATAAAATACGTTGTTCATGTTATTTCGCACTTAGTATCAAAACAGATTAAGAATTTCAAGAAATGCGCAATGGCTGATCAAAAGTAGTAAAATCATCATGATCAATTCTAGTGGAAAGTGACTTAGGGGATGGTGAAAGATGATTTCTCTGGGAAAGCAACCCAGGCAACAACGTAATGAACCATGGTAATACTTATCTTTGTCCACAGCGAAGCCGAAGGAGTCCGACGGTCTTATTTTATCCGCCATCCGCCATCACAGCTTGTGAGCCCTTTGATATATGGATCCACACACCCTCTCTCTTTCTCAAGTGGAGCTGGTATAATTCACTATATTGTCTTCCCCAGACCACAGTCTATGTCTGTGCGCGTGGGTAATTATATGTGTAGAACTTCGGTTAGAACGTGTTGAAGGGTGCTGGTAGAGTTGATACCAAGTATAGTATAACAGTCGTCAGTAGTTCTCCAGGCTGAAGTATGGATGACGGAGGAGTTATCGACCACTTTCCACGTGTTTGGAGCTGTGTGCGCTGACCGTGGAGTAAGTCCAGATGGCTTTCATATGAACTAGCATGGTTCATGGAGGAGCTCAAGCTTAATATTCTAAGAGATGAAGCTCATATCGAGTCTTGCTATTCTTGCTTCGATTATTCACACTGGCGAGCATGGGTTCCTGGTGATTCATTCTCTCTAGGTTCGATATGTAGTAATACTACCATTGGCCGATACTGACGGCTGCACCTGGGTATGGCGCCCACTGAAGTAGCTAAAGTAGCACTGGGTATTGCCTGATATATCTTTCTAATGTAGTCATATGAATCCTTCATCCTGCCCCCTCCCCCGCACTACTATTCGCTTTCCTAAGTTACTGATTTAGCTACTGATAATATCCACTACTAATCCTGGGGGCCATTATCTTTCCCTATAAGGTCAGCCTGGCTAAGCCTTGCTGGGCGCCACATTGACTGTTGAGGCTATTTTGGGGTTTTCCGAAACCGGAAATGTACTGAGTAAGCTTAGTGTATCCCAAAGATAACCTGATAAAGATTAAGCGACACAAGAACCACGAATTCGAAGAGGCAGGAAAGCCGAAAAGAGTCAAGACACAGAATGGACGGGGCGGCGAGATGAAGCCGGATGGATAAAAAAAATAAAAGAAATTAGATCCGAATGTGGGTTTTGAAGTCTGACTTTGAGTCCTTATCAGTGGATAAATCCCCGAGGCACTTGTCATCTGGCGGGCAAATCATATATCCATTCCCCAGCTGTCCACGTACGTATCTAGATTGGTACGCAGTGGGCCATGGTTCTTCGTGTTCGTTTGCCTGCCCACCGGTGCATGTCTGTCTCAAATGTCTCATGGCCATTCTCTGATCCACCATGTTCGGGACGTGCGAGACAAATGTTGCCGATCCGGGGTGACAGTTTTTGGCAATCCAACCGAAGAAACTTGGAAACCGTCGAACGTTGGGTTTCGAAAGAAGGCTGTGACATGCGAACCATGGCGGATTAGCGTCGCAGCTGCGTGGCATATTTGGCCAGAGATATTAGTGGTGCCCACGTACGCGCAATGGCCCCCGCGACGTCATCCCGTCAAGGGGCAAAGGTTGACCGCCACCAGTGGTCCATGGTTTTTGCACAGCCAAGTTGAGGCATGGAAGGGCGGGCGATCTCAACTTCTTTATACGAGGGGGAGAAGATTTTCATGGAGGGGATATTCCGAGATGGGGACAAGGGATTGGGAGAGATACCGAGAGTGGTATAATCAGTAAGCCGTAATTAATTATGATATGTCTCACAAGTAACCTAAAGACAAGATGTCGTGCTCCCACACTAAACTTGGCGGCTGCCAAGCTTCCCCGCTAAGAACCCGCTAAGGAAGAAAGTGGTTCCCTTAAGGTTTGCGATTGTCTGAGGGGAACTCTCCATTCCCCAACAGCCTATGACAGTCTCTTCCATTTCCCCCCCTTAGTCTTCATCTTTGGGGAGCCAAACGATAGCAACAATTTTAACGCGTGGCCGCTCAGTGGGGGGTTACGGTTACGCCCCACTCCCTCCATCGCCGCGCCACAACAGACTCACTGAAAGATTCGCTGTGCCTGAGCGGGCGAAACAGAAGCTGGCAGATGGGGGCTGGAATTGGAAGCATTCGATGGACCTTCCTCCCACGCCTACTGAGTCTAAGTCTAAGTCTACTACTACTCGTCTTAGTGACTATTTTAGTCCCAAAGTAACTAAAAAGTACCTACTTAATACTACCTACTGCACCTACCGCCTTGGTAGGCAGACGAATAGGTTAATCCATGCTCCTCCAGTCTCCTTTCCTGATTACCTCGCCTTGACCCCTCTCGTCCGTCTTCTCTCTCTCCTTCTACTCTCGTCCTCTATCTTTCGCAATATGCTTCACATATAGCCCCTCCAATACCCTCCTTTTTTTTCTATTTATTCTTCCCCCCTCTTTCCCTTCCTTTGGATTCTTCCTCAACGGATTGACCCTCCTTTTAATGCTTGAAATTATCCTCTCCGTCTTGCATCTTTATCGGTCTTTCCCGACTCAAGTCATTCCTTACACCAAGCTGTATTGTGACAACATCAATCTTCATCAACCTCCAGTCTTGTCACCCTCATAAGAGAAGAACGGCGTCCAAGCTGTATTACATTGATTACGGTCTTACGATAATAGTCCTCGTTGGCTTTTCAACCAATTTCTTTGGATAAAGTCCTGAGTCGTGCACAGAAGCTACCGACTTTCAGCTATTCACCATGAGATGGGGCGCTCGCATAGCACTATGTGCTAGTTTAGCACTCATCTTGCCCTTATATCTCTTGAAGATCCACCTCGAGGACCTCTGCGATCAGTATCGCGCGGGCGCATACCTGATCAATTGGCTGGATTTGCGCCCGCCGATGAACAGACTAAATGGCTCCCGTCCTGTCACACCAGGGGATAAAGTGATTGTGATGGCAAAGCTACAGGAAGAGCACACTGAATGGGTCGAGGAGGAGCTACCCGAGTGAGTGTTATTGTCCTCCTATATTACCCATATGTTTCAGCGCACTGACAGCTTCTCTCCTCCAAAGCTGGCAACGAGCCATATACATCGTGAATCCCTCCAAAAAGGTCGCAGCTGACGACACGACACTTACAACCCCGCTGAACAAGGGTCACGAGTCCATGGCTTATCTCACCTACCTGATTGATCATTACGACAACCTACCGTCTACAATTGCTTTTCTTCATTCTCATCGATCGGGTTTCCTGATGGCCTGGCATGTAGATGCGCCCTTACACGATAATGTCATTGCGATGAAATCCTTACGTCTCAATTTTGTTCAAGATAATGGCTACGTCAACCTCCGCTGCAACTGGAACCCAGGGTGCAAGCAGGGCCATCGCACCAACCAGCACGTGACAGAAGAAGTCTTTGCGGAGATCTTCGAGGGCACAAGCACCCCGCCATTAAACTCCACCGGAGGCCTCACGATGCAAGATGAATACGACGAGGCTAAATACCAGAAGTTCCTGCAAATGCCGAAACAAATTGGCGCGGCGTGTTGTGCGCAATTCGCCGTGTCACGGGAGCAGGTTCACCAACGACCACGAGAAGACTACATCAAGATCCGCCAGTGGATTATCGACACAGACAAGAATGATGCCAGTAGCGGCCGTGTCATGGAATTTCTCTGGCACGTCATATTCGGCAAAGAATCAATTTAGTACGTTGCCTTTGCATCGCTCACCCCCTGAATGCATCTTGACCACTAACATTCCGCTACTCACAGCTGTCCCGACGAAGAAGTCTGCTACTGTCAAGTTTATGGACAATGTTGATCATTGTACGCATATCGCTAACGTTTCTGCTTTTCACCAAAAATACCCACGGCTTCTACTTGTATATATTACGATAGTTTCTTTCTTCCGGCGCTCTCTTGCTTGGTGTTCTCTTTCTATCTTCTTTCGACATAATTTTTTTCCCATTTGGGTCACTTTTTCCGTTCGTTTTTCAAAACCAGTTCTTGTGGATCATTACCGGCGACAATACGTTTCTACAGGGATATTACAAACAGCGTGGCGTTGCTTACAGGGACTGCTCGGTTCAAGCTGACTCGATTGACACACTCGTCCCCCATTTTCTTTTCGGCGAAGAAGCCTGACTCCTATCGTTAACGGCGAATCTGGTTGGATATTTTACGATCGTTTCAATACTATTAATTCGAACTTGGAAATACGCTACACCGGTGACTTGTTTCTGAAAGGAAACAAAAAGGCCTCGGTAACCGAATCTTAAGGGGCTTGTTCTTGGAAAAGTACTTGGACCTGATATGGTTCATATGATTATGTCTCTACTGTTACTCTGCGATTTGATGGCATCCCGGCAGTCCAGCGGACGCGATATTTTTTAATGGGACAAAACATTTACATCGCCTAAAAAGCGTTTCCATTCATGTTCTCGTTGAAGGATTCCTATTTCGACCATCCAACCCCACCATTAATTACAAGCTCATGCTATCAAATAACGACAGCCACCATTAGGGGTGTTAAATAGTGGATCAAACAAGTGCATGCCATGCTACTGCTCCAAGAACTCCTCTACCCGCTCGATGAGATCCGCTTTCTTACCGGCATTTGAGCGTCCATTGGAGGTCAAGAAATCTTTCAGGATGGCGACCGTAAGCTAGAAAACCCGCTGGTTAATACAATCTTCAGAGATAACATCATGGGTACGTGGAAGAGGTTTATGCTGGCGTACCTTGGATAGCGTCCCCTTCTGGTGATGCTTGCGGACCTCTTCCTCCAGGTTTCCGGAACCCTCCTCGACCTTGACTTTCTTCGATGGTTTGGAGTCTTCGGTTTCGCTTGCTCGGTCTTTGGATCCTCTTTTCACCAATGTGCTTGTCGGGTGAGGGGCCGCTGCTGAGGTTTTGGCGTGTTGTTTTTCGAGTTCCTCGGCCCAGGATAAAACGTAGTCGCCGGCGCGCTGGGGTTGAGTTGTTAGTTAGGTAAACGTTGGAGAGTCATTTCTTGTGTTGGGTATGGTGGACGTACCTTGTCGATTTGGCGATATTTGGGAATGGTTTTGTCTTCTGGCTTTTCAGGGAGATCCTCGTCTAAGGCGAGAGCTTGTAGGATGCGGTAATGCCATTGAAGGGCTGATCACGGGTTGTCAGCTTCTCCTTCATAGTATACGAGCAATGGATGGCAGAGTTGACTTACATGGATTGGGGTATCTGAGAGGCTCGTACACTCCCTTCGGCAGCTGCAATTGTTGAACGACCACGCGCATCTGATCGATTAATGACTCCGGGGCGACATTTAACGTGGTTTCGGGGTTCTGCCGGATATCGTCTGCGAAAGGCAGGGGAAGAATCCACATGCCAGGAGGGTACTTTTGTACGCCATTCTCATCGAGCTTTTCTTCGCCTGCGATCATCGCGGCGAGGACGGGGCCAGCACCCTTGCGGGCAATGAACCAGACCAGTGCCATCTTCTTGTTCCGCAAAAGCGTCTGGTGCAATGCAGAAAATACTCGTGAGGAACCTACATAGTCTTCCTCGGATGGATAGATAAAGTATGGGTGTTTGACGTTCGCCCAAAATGGAAGCGCAGTGATAGGCTTGAACCCTATAACCCTGATCACTGGCTCACCGAAGTCCCTGAGCGCCTTCTGTTCATCAGGCGAAAAGGTTACCTGGTCTCCACCGAACTTATATGCCTTTCTGATCTCCCATTTCTCGACATTACGGCCAGTATCATCTGCAGAATGGGTAGTCACGCCTTTCGCGACCACAGGCTTCTCGCCGTTCAGCCAGATGAAGGAGTTTCTAGCGGGCGCTTGCCTTCGTAAGAGTATATAGCCCGATACCGAGATCTTGAAGTCTGGCCCGAGTTCTAAAGGCATGTTCGAGAAATGAGTGCGACGCGGGACCGTTCTTGAGTTGATACTGGATAGAAGCGTGTTGAGAAGTGAAATACCGTCCCCTGTCGCTGTCGCCGCCTTTGAATCTGTTTGTAGATACGTAGGCGCCTCTGGATCGTTGGGCGATGACTTGTAGATAATATCCTTTGTATATGGAGTGAGTATTGACCCCTACCACTTTGCCATAGAGTATGATAGCTTACGTCATAGAACTTGCTGTTCATGAATTCATGCTTAGGACGTGAGATCGGAAACAGCTCAATGGTGACACCAAGATCGTAAAGATCCTTAGCACGTACAGTCGCGGCCGACCGTAGGGTTTTATCATCACCATGGGGGTTGTCATTGTCGGTTATGATGAACAAGCGACGGGAGAGGAAATTTGGCGCTCTGGATGTGAATATCTGGTTGGCGCAGAATAGGACGTTTGCCATAGAGACTTGCTCTTTCGCCGGAGCTAGAATATCCCTTGAGGCTCCATCATCATCCACCAGCGCTCGAAGTTCTTTGACCTCCTGGGCCGAAGGAACATCGAGGTCAGTGAAGAGGTAGCAGTTGGGGTAGGAGAGGTCTCCGCGACTGTCTTCATCTTCTTCGAAGAACTTGGACGCCTGCGTCCCAAACAGCAAAACCCCCATCATGTCTTGTGGATTGGATATGATTCGTTGTTGCATAAAGTGATAAGCGCATTTGAGCGCTGCCGTAGTGGGTGATTCTTGGGTGTGTTTCTTAGGGTCTGCTGAGGGACGAGGCGTCAACATGGAATCGCTGACATCGATTGCGAAGAGGACTGCATCTTTGACTGATCTGTAGCTCTGATCTTATCGTCAGTTCCAGACTTTCAGTCCAGGCTCATGGGTAGGATGTGCGTACAGTCTCATCAATCTCTTCCTCTTCCTCAGCCGCTTCATCTTCGCGATGTGGGTTACCGTCCGCCATACTGGTTGTGGTAGAGTGGGTTAAAGTATTCAAAGTAGTATCGAAATGAAGACAGGGAAGTATAAAGCTTTTGGATAAGTTGCATTCAGAATAAGGAACAAGTGGGGCTGTTGTGTCTGCCTGTTTGGCCTCTGCTGCCTGCAGCCGAGGGGAGATCTAATAGCAGTAGTATCTATATCGTCACTGGATCCCGTCGCGAGGGACGCGATAAAACCGGCGGGCAGAAAGACGCGGGGAGACACGAACATCATGTGATGTCCATCCGGTAATTGATGACGCTAGGTGGCCGGTCATTGGCTGTCGGGGGTCGGAGTTAGTCGTGGTATCGATTGCTCCGTCATCAAGCCGTTCTGGACTTTTCAGCTTCCAGAAGGCCTTGCGCTGTTGTATACACCCACTACCTCTTCTTGCCACTCGTCTATCAATCGATTATTTAATGCAGGCTTGAATTGTTCATCCATTTGCGCGATACGAACGGCCTTTCCTTGTACCTCCTTTGACTAGCTTACCCGATCCTACAATTACCTGTCATGGCTCTCTGCCGCCCGTTTACTCTTCCCCGGCAATTGCTGCGACCGGCATCTCGCACTCTGTTCGGATATAAGCAGGAACAAAGATGTGGGCTAGCGACAACGGTGCCTCCAGTTACCCAGGATGCAACAGGCTCTAAGGGCCCCACGGCCATGGTCTTTCTCAACATGGGAGGGCCCTCGACGACAGACGAAGTAGAGGATTTCCTCAGCCGGCTATTTGTACGTCTCCGACCATGGCAAGCTGTCATTTTGGCTGCAGTATTTCTAACAGTCTACTTTTAATAAAGGCCGACGGCGATTTGATTCCTCTAGGCAGGTTCCAGAATTACCTCGGGCCTCTCATTTCGAAGCGACGCACACCCAAGATCCAAAAACAGTACGCGGACATCGGCGGAGGCTCACCCATCAGGAAATGGTCGGAATACCAATGCGAAGAAATGTGCAAGCTGCTGGACAAGATCAACCCGGAGACTGCGCCTCACAAGCCGTATGTCGCCTTCCGTTACGCCAACCCGCTGACGGAACAAATGTACACACAATTGCTGGAAGATGGTTTTGGCAATGGCAAGGGCGGTCGTGCGGTCGCATTTTCGCAATACCCCCAATATTCCTGCTCTACTACAGGTAGCTCTCTGAATGAGCTGTGGAAATGGAGGAATCGGCTGGAGGGCAAGCGAGCAAACGGAAACGTGGACACTTCCGGAGCCATCCAGTGGAGCGTTATCGACAGATGGCCTACGCACCCTGGCCTTGTGGAGGCGTTTGCGAGAAACATTGAGGACCAACTCAAAACCTATCCGGAAGATAAGAGGCATGGAGTGGTTCTCTTGTTCTCGGCCCACAGTTTGCCCATGAGTGTTGTGAACAGAGGTGAGTCCTTGAGGAACCTGTTACGAAGTCCCGGTGGCTAACCGAGTACTTTCTCTTTTAGGTGATCCCTACCCAGCCGAGGTCGCTGCAACTGTGCATGCGGTCATGCAAAGACTCAATTTCAGCAACCCTTACCGCCTCTGTTGGCAGTCTCAGGTTGGACCAAAGGCTTGGCTGGGGGCGCAGACTAGCGATACCGTTCAAGAGTATGTGAAGCGTGGACAGACTGACATTGTCCTCGTACCAATCGCCTTCACCAGCGACCACATCGAGACTCTGTATGAGCTGGATCTCGAAGTCATGGAAGAGGCGAATCACCCGGGTGTCAAGCGGGCCGAAAGTCTGAACGGCAGCCCTGTATTCATCCAAGCCCTTGCAGATCTTGCTAAAGAGCACTTGCACAAGGGAGAGAAATGCTCGCTGCAAATGACGCTGCGTTGTCAAGGCTGCAAGAGTGAGAGGTGCTTGGAGCAGAAGAAGTTCTTCGCTGGTGAACAGGGAGCGTCCTTGGTAGTATAATAACCAGGCACTAGAGTTTCGTTTCTTTTCACAAGGGTTCTGTTCTTTGATGTGTGTATGTGAAGGCGTTCTCTGTACGATAGTCTGTGTGTCTATACAAGCAATAAGCAACGAGCTACAACCATTGAGTTTACGATTTCGGCAAATTCCTCATGTGGGCGAATAGGCTTTCCTGTGATTTAAACCAGTCAGTGGCAGGATCACCGTCGTACCAGTGTCTTGACTCCTGGCAGTTCCTATGGGGAGTTTCTGGAACTGGGAAGGGGTACACTTCGAACCTAAGTACTACTACTGTAGATAGTCGACAGCGTGGAGTGATGTAAGTGGCCCGAGGAGGCGGGTAGTCCAGGGCGTTATCGCCGAGCTGACTTGCCTTGCTTCTGAGATTTCTGAGACTTGCATACCCGGGGCTGATCCCCGAGAAATGGGCTTGAACCGTGAAACATCTCCCACAATCACCACCCACCTCCAGTCATGGCCATTTCTAGGCTGAAATTCTAGAATCACGTCACCACTACCTACCGATAAGATACTAACATGCGCTGGCATGTGTTCCATCCCAGCATTTGCTGACCTGTCGTGTGTTTCATGCCGATTGATAAGCGAATGGCTCGGAGTTTAACTTAGTAAACGGACTACCATTTATCTGGTCTCCTTGCCGGCTTTCCCCCCGCCCGGTTTTCTCAAATGTTTTGAGCCCACCTCAGGTGTTGTACTGTTTCAACCCCAGAGCAAGCAAATGTAGGCACCAGTCTAGTTGCTCTACCCATTATTCTGCTTCTAAGGTGCGAAATCGCTCGCACCATGTCCACAATCAGGCGCAGCGCATCGCCGACTGCGCATACCGAGGTTGGTCCGGGATTGCAAGCCGGACTGGACGCTTCTGCGCCAATTGATACTGGACTGGAGACTTGGGAAGACCCCATGCACACCCATGAGCGAACCCCTCTATTAGAACAAGACAACGAAGAGTCGCTACCGGAGCATGACCAGCGGGCTAACCCACCAAATGATGATCCCGTCGGCCAGGGAGGTTTCTGGCAGACATGGAGACGGCCAAGCGTGAGTCTCCATCAACAATGGACAATGATCGTGCCCACGACTTCTGACACGTAACAGATCCTTTGGATTCTTCCATTTCTTGTCTTCTATATGCTAGGTATCGGCGGCACTGCAGTGCCCAAAATCAACCTGATGATGTCTCTCATTTGCAGGGACTATATGGCAAACAAGGCGACCCAGGACCCGGGTTTCACGTATCTGCCTGTCATCATTGGAAATAAGAATTCGCAGTGTCAGACACCCGAAGTCCAGTCATTGCTTGCTCAGTTCCAGTTGTATTTCAACCTCCTGGCCGGGATACTATCTGCACTAGCATGCCCCAGACTCGGGCACCTATCAGATCGCTACGGTAGGACAAAGATACTGGCCCTCAACGCACTGGGGACCATTTTGATGGAGGCTATCTTTGTCTTTGTCTCAGCCAAGCCAGATCTTGTGTCTGTGCATGTGCTTCTACTGGCTGCCATCGTCGATGGCCTCTGTGGTTCTTTCACCACCATCATGGCACTGACAATGTCGTATGCCTCCGACTGCACCATCCCAACGAAGCGGAGTGCGGCATTCGGATACGTATACGGTTCTCTTTTCGCTGGAACCGCAGCTGGGCCTCTGCTGGCGGCTATCTTGATCAAGAAAACAGGCCAGGCACTGAGTACCTTTGAGGCCTCGTTGGCCCTGAATGTTCTCTACCTCATTGCAGTCATGACCATCATCCCGGAATCATTATCGACAGACCAGCAGCGGCAAGCGCGGGACAGTCATCGAAGAAAAGTCATCGACGAAGGGGAGGCAGGCTGGCTAAGCCTGGAGAACCTCAACCCCAAACGGCTAATTACACCTTTGGCTGTTTTGCTACCACCAGTAGGACGCCCCAGCACGCTTTTCCCCAATCGTCACGGTGCGACCCCGGCTTTGCGCAGGAATATTATTCTTCTTACAGCGATGGATACCATTGCATTCGGGGTAGCGTTGGGAACCGCTCAAGTGATCATCATTTATGCCGAGTACAAATTTGACTGGGGCAATGTGGAATCAAGTCTCTTCATATCGATTATAAGCATCGCCCGGGTCGTCAACCTTTTCGTTGTATATCCGATCATCATCGCAATCTTCCGTGAACCACCGAAACCAGATCACATCGTTCCCGGCTCCAGCACCTGCGAGATTGTTATTATACGACTTTCGCTTTTCCTAGACATGGTTGGCTATGTGGGTTTTGCAATGTCATATCAGGGTTCCATCATGGTATTCTCGGGGATCGTCATGGCACTTGGCGGCATGGGGATACCGACAATGCAATCATCTCTCACGAAACATGTCCCTCGTGAACGGTTAGGTCAGATACTTGGCACGAAAGGACTCTTGCATGCTTTGGCTCGAGTGATCTCTCCAACCGCTTGCAGCCTCCTTTACAGCCTGACGGTTGGAAAGTTCACTCCAGCGATATTTGTTGTCCTGGGGGCCTTGTTCTTGCTCACCTTCTGTACCAGTTTTTTCATCAAACCACATGGTATGTGACCTACCTACCTCATTGTCTAGGAATGTCTGCTAACAACTCTGTGCTTGACAGTTACTCTTGACGACTCTTACCCAAATAGTCCTCGAGATGAGGCTAATGACGAAGGCTTCGTGGCGGATCCTATTCTCTAGTCATGCTAAAAGTGGAGCCCAGCAGTTACTATACTACACGCGACCGCTGATCTGGCTCACGATTAGACTGATCTTCGTGAGTATTGGCGTATAGAATTGTTCAATTATATATGTGATTATTGGGTAGCAGTTTATACATTCGATAGAATTCGTCAAAGGACCATTGTAGCATGATCCCTTGGAGTAGTTGTCACAGATACGGAATAGTAGTCTGAGAAAAGGCCGGGTAAAGGGTGTTAGTAAGACGAGTGGGCACACCGGGAAAAGACCGGATGCGGTACGGCGGGCGGTAGCGACCAACTCGACCGAGCTGGTGCAAACTTTCCGACCGACAAGCTCCGAATCCATTCTACCCATCATAGAACTCCAATTGTCCCAATTGACCAGCCGGCGCGGGGTTCCTGACGGTTCCTCTGTCATTTAATCCTCGTAGCCTTCTTTTTCACTTAATGATTTAGTGGTGATCCGACCCAGCCCGCTGTCAGCGGTGCGCAAGGTTAACCACCATGGTCTCCAAACCCACCAGCGGCACACCAGCTGTGCCATCACGAAATGCCCTACGAGTCCTCCGTCGATTGGCTCTTGCAGGATCGACTGTGGGAAGCTTTTGCACGGTTGCAGCCATTACCTACGACGTCCATCGTCGGGTGCGCGTTGCGGAACGAATTGTCGAAAACAAGCGGGCCTTGCAAACCTCAGCCCCGAACTACGATGCAACGTCTGCAGCAAGGAGACTAGCACGTATGATGGAGGCGGCTGAGGCAGGAGAGTTTATGGGCTTGGAATCACTAAAAGAGCAAGATCGGAAGTTCAGAGAAGCGCAAGCTGTCCCAGCTGGGGTAGACGTTCGTGGTGACGACTTGAGCTGGGATGTCCAGCTGCAAGACCAACAACCTGCTGCCCCTGCGGAGACTTATATGAATACTGCACGCTCAAAGTTGATTGACACCTTTACTCCCGGACAAGTACCAGCCAATTCGACCTCAGCTCCCGATCTCCCTCCGAACCTAACACGATCGACCGATGCACTGGACCGAGCAAAATCCGCCCTAGCCAATGCGAAACAAAGAACAACCGAAGGACATGAGAAACAAACAGAAGATCTAGCTCAATGGCATGATTCAGTCACAGAAGAAATGCAAAAGTTTCTTGACCACGGTCGCCCTATTGATGCCGCCCATTTGTTTTTGGACGCCCACCCCGCGACGTTGAACGGCATATCTACAGATAGACGGGAGGTTACGGTCAAGACATTTTATGCGAATTGCAGAGAAGAAAACGTCATGGTTGCGAGGAATATTTTTGAACGCCTAGAAGACGTGGACAAAGTGTCTCCTGGCATGTGGAAAGTTTTGATGTTCGCGCTAGCGAGAAAGGGGAGCATCGAATCCGTCGCCACTATATTTACCCGATACATGCACAAATTCAAAGTGCCCCCGGAAATGGTCGACATCGTCCTCCGATGTTTACTAGAGTCTCACCGACTTACCACGGCGAAATGGTTTCTTCTGCGAAATCTCGAGGTAGATCGTGGCTGCGGCTTATGCGGCGCCTATCTCGCCGGGCTTTGGAAGAAGACAAGGAGTATCGAGCTTTTGAACGGGCAATTGAAGAAGATCCTGACTATCCTTCCACGCTTGGGAAAGGAACCCACCGACAAGCTCTTTAACCCCGTGATCAAAGCATACGTGGAATTCGGTCGGCTGGCTGATGCGGAAGCACTAGTTAAAGACATGACGACTAGATACGGCATTCCACTTCGCTGCCGAACAAAGGGTCTTCTGGTATTTGGAAGGGCATTAGCCTGTGATTGGGAGGGCGTGGACGCTGGGTTACAGCAGATGCATGAGCTTAAGTTGACCTCAAGGAAGTATGACTTTACGCCGATATTTGACCGCATCTTCCTCGAATATTGGGTATCACATTCCGGTGAAGAGATCCGCGAGTTTGTCTACCGTTATATCGAGAAGTTCCAGATGGTTCCCGACAAAATTCTTTACAAGCACATTCTGGAGGCATTCGTGGAAAAGGGTAATAAAGAAATGGTTGATGAATTTGTGCGGTTCGCACGTGAGCGCCGTTGGCCGAACTTCATCAATGAGCAGGAATTCTTGGAAATGCTTCGAAAGCGTCGTCACGCTCTTGAGGAAGCACCAGTGGGATTCTGGCAGATGCTGCAGGCAGCTCGGGCGAAACATGGACAAGCTGCCACATCGCAACAAGTGCTTGGATATGACCAGCGGTCATTCCCACTCGCGGAAGTCAACCTGATGCCGTACACGCAGGACCCGTTACCGTGGTATCAACGAACGCTGCAACACATGACTCCCTCGAGGCCAGTTGACCAATACCAAAAGCTCCACAAGCAGATGTCTCATTACATGCATGTCGGTAAGCTGACGGAGGCGTTGAAGTGCTTTGAGAATGCCAAGAATGCGCGGTTCCAATTCAAGCAGTTGCATGTTGAACTCGCAGTCATCTGCACTCTGCTTGAAGAGGGTGTCGGTGCTGCTCGTGCTTTGATCGACTCCGAGTGGAAGAATATTCGCCATCTGGTTCGCTTCTTCCCCCAGTTCTTCCGCCAGATCATGGAGGTCGACTCTGAGGCTGAAGGCCAGCTGATCAATATGGCCGTGCTTCGCTTCTATGAGCTGTGCTGGTCAAACAAGAAGATGACAGTCAAGCACCACATCACGGTAGCGACCAGCAGAAGACTGATCGCAGTGAAGAAGCCCGAGTTGGCTGTTGATCTGTTGGCAACCGTCTACATGTCCCGCTTCCGGCACTCGTTGGCATATGATGGTGTCTGCATGAAAATGTTCATACGTGCGTTTGCCGCGACTGGTAATCTGCATGGCATGCGGTGGTGCATCTTGACCGCTCTGGCCCGAGGAAGCGCACTTAACCGTGACTTTGTCATCGAAGCCCGCCGGGTCACTGGAAACTTACAACGTCAGCTAAGCTCAGCCGAAGGATCTAAGGATGCGTCACGGGACATGGAGAAGATCGAGTATCTGACGCATGCCGTTGAACTGCTGGAGAAGAAGAGCCAGGGCGATCCCCAGCTGTGGCAGCTCAAGACCAACCCGACGGTGAAAAAGGCCGGTCGCCGGCTACTAAAGCGCCCTCTTGATGAACGGCGCCTGTACAAGAAGGCCCATCTCCAGGAGACCATCGAGGGCTGGGATGAGGAATATGAGTTGGAGGCCGTGCTGGGCCGCATTGACATTGACCCGAAGTCGATTGCGCTTCGATGGAGCGAGAAGCACTGTCTGGGGCAGGTTCGTGAAATTGATGATCTGCTGTGAGTTCGGGGTGGCATTTGTTCTATATCACTTCTACTATTGTTGTATTATGTTTGTATTTCCGGCTGTGTGCTTGTGTATATATCCCATGCTGCCATGTTCAATACTGTGTATACTACTTGTGATCTTATCCTGCAATTGGGTTTGTATGAATATTCCTGCGAATTCAAGTGCAGACTTCATTGAAAAGCATCCTAGATGTACAAATATGTAAATCATCATTCCTAGGGTAGTTCAGACGCACTATCTGCATAGACTCACCGAGACCGTCAGGAACAATCAACGCGCATGGTTCAGTATTTTCCATCGTGTGTGGACTAATTATAGATACAAGCCCAGTTTCACTTTCTCTTGGCTTCGTATTCGGTGTCAATTGCTGTCCACCATCACAGTATAAAAATAGCTTCCAAATTATGCTAGTATGGACCTTAGTGGGTCAAATCTGGATACCAAGCAATCTGGCTCTGAAGCATCCTCTAGTATCTGTGATTCCCGAACCACGCCCTTCCAATGACACGCTGAACTTCTGATGAATAAAAGCCCGAAAGCTGTTTATTCTGTTCGCCACAACCACCCCCTCCCCCAACCTTCATCATGGCTCAGAACAACTTGACTGGCGCCTGTCTTTGCAGGAACATCACATATCGCATTACCTTGCCAGATCCAGAGACATACCCTAAGGTACTATTACCCAATTCAACTATTCACAATCACCCAATCTACTAAGTCCACCACTAACAAATACCAGCTAATCATCTGCCACTGCACCCACTGCAAACGCTACACGGGCTCGAGCTTCTCTGCCAATATTATCATCCCACAGGCTAGTTTCGAGTACACGAAGGGTACACCAAAGCTGTATACAGACAGCAGTAAGAGGGGTGTGCAGGTACTGCGCGAGTTCTGTCCTGATTGCGGAACACCGTTCACGTCACGGTCGAGTGATGATGAGGAAGTTGTTGCGGTGAAGTCGGGGACGCTTGATGATGAGCATCGAGTTAAGTGCTCGGAGTTGGAAATGGAGATTTATTATCATCGGAAGGATGGGTGGGTGGATGGGTTGGGGGGTGAGGGGGTGAAGAGGGTGGATGGGAGTATGGGGAGTTCATAGAGAGGACGAAGTCATTGCGATTCGGGTTGGTGATCTCGCCTTCTAGCAGTATCAGAAGACAGGACTAAAGATATGAGATAAGGCACCAATGCACGCGGAAAGCAACGGGCTTGCTGTTCGGAGAGCTTGTCTTTTAATCTTCTTATCTACAATATATTGAGCATTGACTAGGCCAATGCAGGTTATTGGTTATTAGCCTCTGGCTAGTCAATATGCTTAGCACTAGCGCTGATATCAACCCATGTACCCATGTCTATGGCGCGAACACAAGGGAGTCAATGGGACTATATCAACAAATGATGCTGCCTAACACCTCACACCCTCTCAGCTAGCTATTCGCTCCTCCCACCATCGTTCATCATGGCTGCATCCGAGCTCAAGCAATGGATAGCTGCAGCTGCCCCAACCGAAAGCAGACTTGAGCAGCTTCAACATCAATATTCTGGATACTGTCATGCACTTATGCCACACTTGACCAATGCAAAGAAAGTCCCAGTGACCCTCTATGAGTTCCTTGCAGCCAAACCCAACACGTCCGAGTTTATCCGACTGGTGGACCAAATCCCTCACATTAAACAGCTATTGCAAGACAAGGATTATTCCTCTACTGTCTGGGTCCCAAGCAACACTGCGCTGCAGCAACTGAGAAATGAGCTATCTAAGGAAGATGTTCTGGCTCTCCTTCAAAGACACATCACGCCATCATTTCTTCCAATATATTTCCTTCTGACAGCTCCAACCATCGACACACTATTCTATCCTGACCGATTAAATGGTGCCCAGAGAATAACAGTCCGTCCTTCACTCAACGGCCTTCGCGTGAACTCCCACGCAACTGTGATCGAACAAGACCACCTCGTGGCAAACGGTCTCGTCCATTTAATCGACCAGGTTCTCCCACCGCGACCAATTATTACAGCTTTTCTTGCTGCTCTCCCGCCATCCGATTTTGACCTGTTCCAGTCTGCAGTGAAGCAGTCTGAAGCTATTCAGAATCTTCTCCAGGATGAGTCTCGTCGCGGCGGAACTGTGTTCATCCCCACCAACGAAGCCTTCCGCAAGCTGCCTGAGGAAGTCCAGACATACCTCTTTAGCGATGAAGGAGCTGCATCTCTTCAGACTCTGCTGAGATATCATGTCATTGGGAATCAATCATTGTACTCGAACCGTCTCTACGATCAGGACTCTGCGCCAGAACATTTCACACAGACGCCAGAAGCTACGCCCGAACATACGATTCCTACTCCTGAGGATCAGGCGGATCGCTTGTGGCGTGTACTCAAGGGAGTTCGTCGTTTTACCTTGCCTACGTGCTTAGATGGGCAACATCTGACGGTTGCTGTGACCCGATGTGGGGCCTTGATTTCAATGAAGGTGAATGGAATTGCAAACGTGAATGTACAGGATGGCTTGGCTAGTGATGGAGTGTGTCATGTTGTGGATTCGGTTTTGCTTCCACCTCTACAGGATGAGGATGCAGAGGCTCAGCCAGTACTTTCTGTTGCAGATGTGAAGTCGAGACTGGGCTAGCTTGGCTTTCCATGGCAGTTGTGTCTGATTCTGTTATCAATGTGACTTTCTTCTGAGTGTGCCCTAAGTTGTTTCAATCGTATTGATACCTATGACCCACGCAGGCTTATCGCCTTCGATCATTTAAATTGAATAGCTCGTTTATATACTGTGCATGCTGCTGGTCTTCTCTTTGGCAATAACGTCATAGTACTAGTATATAGGTCTACAACATCCCATCTTGAAAGTCTATTTTAGGCCTACTACACGCACCCCCTAATCCCATCACTCCGCGACCTCAACAACCAACTTAGTACAACTCACCCCTCGACTCAACTCATCCAACCCATCATTAACAGCCTGCAACCCCCTCCCAACAACCCTTAGCTCCGGACTCGGCCTGATATACTCATTAGCCAGATTATCTCTCGCCCACGTCCCCATCCAATACCGAAACTGATCCAACCTCTTCTCCTCATCATCCATCGCCGGCACCACAAAGATGACTTCCACCCCATCCACCACGTCCACTTCAGAAGGAACAACCGGCGCGGATGCAATCTTCGCCTTCACATCCCCATCCCCATCAGCAGCCCCCACAAAAGACCTAACCACAGCCTGACACATCCGCACGTCCCCTACCGCAAGAAAACAAAACCGAATCACACAACCATCCTCTTTAGCCGTCTTAACAATTTCATCCACAACATTCGGATCCCTATGATCAAACACACGATCCGCACCCAACGACCGCACATACTCATAATTCGCCGCCCCAGCAGTAGCATACACAGCAGCAATCGAAGAACCAGGCTGATCCCGAAGTACCCGGGCAACTTGCACACCCATCGATCCAACGCTAGAGGATGCGCCCCAGACGAACAGTACCTCTCTCTTCTTCCCCATCTGGCCCTTAATCCCATCACTGGTCTGCGTATCACACACCAGCTGCAACCCCATCATCTCCCACGCGTTGAGCGCCACCTGCACAGCAACAGGCAACATAGCCGCCTCATTCCAGGAGATCATCACCCCCTCGTCCGGAAGCGGCACAACATGCTGCCACGGAACAAGGCACTTCTCCTGAAAAGCGCCATAGTCCGGATCGCAGCCCTTCCAAACCGAGGCGGAGTAGGCGGCGATGCGGGTGATCCCTGGATGGAAATGTTTGGGGACGTTGGTGCCGACGTCGAGGACTAGACCTGATAAGTCGAAGCCAATGACGGTGGGATATGATGGGATGAAGAGGCCTGTGTCGCGCATGATGGTGTCTGCTGGGTTTAGGGCGATGGATTTGACGGCTATGAGGAGGTCGTTGGGGCCTGGGGTGGGGGTTGGGCGGGTGGTTAGGGTGAGAGGGGTGGATTTGGAGGGGAGGAGGGCGGCTAGGTGGGTGGGCATTTTGTTTCTATATAGTTGTAGTAGTGTATGACTGCTGTGATGGTGGTGAAGTATGAAGCCTTTAATGGGTAGAAGTTGTAGTGTGTGTGGTATGGATGACGGGTGGGTTGGTGTCTCGAACGGATTCCAAGTTGTATGTTTGGGAAGAAGTTGGAAGTATAATTACTGGGAGAAAACCTGAGCCACGCTCCCCTTTTATATTTGAGAAAAATGTATCATGGCATGTCAATCGTCTCTAGATGTATACAATAGTAGATCATGGTGGAGGCAAGCGGCAGCCAATCAGCGATGTCTGCATCCGAGTGCGGGTTTAGCGTTGAGATGCAAGATCCGAGACACGGTTAGCTTATGACTAAATGCAGGTATTGGGGGCCATGACTACCACCCATTCCAAGTCCTTCCAGCATCCAATTCCCTTCAATCACAATGACATCGACTGACCCTTTAGAGGTACGGGAACGCCCTAACAAGATACGGCGAAGATCACGATTCGGGTGCCGCAATTGCAAGCTGCGAAAACTGAAGGTGGGTGCCCCTAGCACCTCGTAGATAAACCATCCCCACTGACCCATATCAAGTAGTGCGACGAAAGCAAACCACAATGCAAGCGATGTAATTCATTTGGGGTAGTCTGCAACTTCCTATCATCTACCACCCCCGACCTCCACCCCATTCCCGCTGACTCGCGACGGTCATGGACGGTTCGAGGTACAGCATCAGCAGCAAGCCTGCAGGCCCCTCTCAGCAATGCAATTTGGACCTCAGACGCCTCAACATTCTATCAACTAAACATCAGATGCCAAGACTTCATCACCCGATATCTAGGGCGCAGCCTCATCACCCCCGATGATCCCAACATGGGACAAGTAAATCGCAAGCTGCTAGAACTAGCCTTCACCGTAAGTCGGCCCCATCCATCACAAGTCTAGTTCAAGATACTAATGACCAAATCCTAGCATCCCTACCTAATGCACGCCTCCCTAGCAGTATCACTCACCTACGACCGCCACCTAAACAGCCCCTCCGACAGCCACCGCACTCTAGAAGAATGCTACCACTGGTCGCAAAGCACCATCCTCTTCAACAAGAAGCTTCGCGTATCCATAGAACCCAACGACAGGGATCCCATCTGGGGCACAGCAGCCGCGTTAGTAATTCTGACTTTCTCATCACCTAACGCACGCACACCAGAAGAATCATGGCCACTGAACACCTCCCCTTCCTCACATTTGGACTGGGTGCATATGAACAAGGGGAAAATGTCCTTGTGGAATATAGTCAATCCGCTGCGATCGGATAGTATCTTTCATGTTATGGCGGGGACGTTTGCCTATGTGCATTCGCCGTTGCCACAAGGAGGAGTAGAGGGTATACCTCCTGCTTTAGCGGCGCTGTGTGGTATCACGGATGATTCTACAGTGGAAACGAATCCGTATTTCCACGCTGCTCATGCGGTAGGACAGATCTTGGAGGTTAGGGATAGTGAGGTGACGATGGGTCCGGTGCAGATGTTTATGCGGTGTATTCAGGGTGGGTTTGAGGGGTTATTGAGGGATAGGGATCCTGTTGCGTTGGTGTTGCTGTACTTGTGGTATAGAAAAGCTGGACGTTGTATATGGTGGATTGGGCTGAGGGCGAGAGTGGAGTGTCCTGCTATTTGGATGTATTTGCGTCGGTATCATGGGGGAGATGATGCTGTGATGGAGTTGCTATCAGGAGGTGGTAGAACGTCTTATGGACTAGATTTGTACTAAAGGAGGAGCTTATGTCCTATGTCTTACAGGCATAACATAATCACACATAGATCCAAACAAGCAAGACCCTCTTTCAAATTATCATACTAGCTATTCAGCACCCTCTATATCAACCAACACACCAGCAGCAGCATGACCTCCCTCACTCGCTCATCTCACCCCCCATCTTCCCCCCAACCCTCCCCGCCCTTCCACCCTCCAAATCCCTACAAAAATACCAATACTCCAACCAGAACTCCCGCGCAGCACTATAATCCGGCAAATACCATCTCAACAACATCTTCCACTCTCTATCCTCCTCACCATCAGCAACCGAAGTGGCGACATATTCCCACCAAACAGGAAAATACCCAGCCGTTTCCCAACCAACAATCCCAGTAACTTCACCACGCTCCACAATAATATTCCCTATTGTCAGATCCCCATGCGTAAACGTATACGGCATAGCAGCCGGCATTCGCTGCCTCAGCCGTACCCTCGCAGCCTCGGGAATCCTCTCATCCAACCCACGCTCCATCTCAGCCCAAAGCTCGTCATCAGATGCAAAAGGACCGCGGGGAATCTCAATCTCACCAGAGGAGCTACTAGAATCATTCTTGAAGAGGAGGTTGGAGAAAACTGGACGGCCACCGAGACATTGGATTTTATCCGACTGGAGAGGTCGGAGTTGTTGGAGATACGCGGCGACTTGCTTTGCTATGGTTTCTTTTTCGTTGGGGGTTAGTTTTGACCAGACTTTGCGCAACGGTTCGCCGGGGATACGCCGCATTAGGGTGAGAGTGTGTTTATCTTTCTCCTCCCAGGATTCGATAATAGTGGGGACGGGGATTGAGGTCCGGTCCTGCACGAAGTTGATGTTTGGGATCTCGGTGGTTGGAGGGTTGGGACCGTGGTCTTTCAGGATTACCTTTGAGCCGATGGACCAGGTGCCTCGGTCGCCTGCTTCGTGGAAGGGTTTGAGGTGGTTTTTGTAGTTGCAGTGGTTTTGGCGTTCGGGGGTCCAGCTGCATGCTTTGCAGGGGGTTGAGCTCATGATGGGTGGGTGGGTGGTGGTAATAACAGTTTGCTCAGAGTTAGTATGACAATCTCGATTCGTTGACCTACATGCCTGTCTCTCGGTTCTGTGGGAACTGAGTGATCTTAAATAGATCATGTTCAAGCTTTGGGGACTAATAGTCGTCTTCTTGCTTCAATTACTAGCTAATTCTTGTATGCAAGAAAATGGAATAGATCGGTGACTATGGAGTGACAAGTTTTTAGTTCAAGTGGCTTCATTGAGGGAATCCGGGAATAACCTTAAATAAAGAAGAAATAGTAAGTAAGGTTGAAGCTATGTCCGATCAGTATTTGAGCAGTGTCTAATTCGAGTAGTATTAACCTTCGACGTGTCCAATACATGGATACAGCCGCATATGAAGATATTAGCGCAGACATATCAATTCACAATGATACAATGATAGCCTCCCACGCTACATATTTTGGACTTATTATTGGTCGTGCGAAATTAACACACCCGTACTGCATTCTGTGAAATATGGACTTTACCGGATTAAGTATAGCTCCAGGTTTGTTCTCTGGGAATATGTTTGTATTTGAGGCGATTTCAAGGTGGAAATCGAGATGTATCAGTGTGTTCCCCACACAGGGGTTGCAAAGCTATGATAGGTGGGTTTAGATTTGATGTTAATGGCGTATGAGGGAATATGGCACTAGTGAAGAGCAGTGCATTTAGGTGACAATGAATACTAGCGCCTAGTCTGTCAGTTATTCCCTGATAAGAAAGACACTACCAATAACAGATATTAACTGGGTAAACATACAGCCTTTTTATTCCCACTGAGCCCCATAGCGTAGTATAACACCAACCCCACGAACATCTAACCTGAGCACTCTACCTACTGCCCAGCATCACTATCACTACCCCCATATCCTACAATACTTAATCATCAACAATACCATCCAAAATGACCACCCCTCCAACCTCCCCCTTCCACCTCCGCCCTGCCAAACCCACTCCCACCGACCACGCCTTCATCCTGTCCGCCTTCGACTCCTCCCTCCCCTTCCTGGCCTCCATCGGCAGTCTCGACCAATGGGGCAAGACCCCCTTCTCCCAGCGAGGGGACTTCGCCGGAGCAACCCTAAAAGAACTGAATTACTCGGAAGAGTTCCGCCTCACAGGGACTAGCGGCTTAGATAGTAATCTCCGTATGTTCATCGCCGAGCGAGAACTACACCAGCAGCACGATGAAGGACAGCTTCAAGCTGAATTCGTTCGAGTGACGCCCGACGGACGGCGGTTCTTACCCGTTGGCGTTGCGTATGTTCGCGAAAACTGGGTGCCGAATTATGTGAAGACGCAGACTCATCTTCCGATGCCAGATGTGGACCATGGTGGTGGAGGGTTTCTTTACCTCGAGGTTATGGTGACGGATAATCGGGGGGATCGGAGGGAGCTGTCTCGCGGGGCCGGAGCGGCGCTTATCAGGGGGATTCGGGAGTATGGAGAGGCTAGAGGGATGAGGATGTTGTGGGTGGATGGGTGGGCGGGGAATGGGAGGAAATTGATCAGGTTCGTTTATCTCTATTTTCTATATCATTCTTTTCATCATTTTGTGCAGTTCATGAGAGTTGGAGGTGTTAACATGGGTTTCTTTGATAGGTACTATGAGCAGCAAGGGTTCCGGGCTGTCGGGGAGTGGAGTCATATGAGGACGAACAATGTGCCGTGGCTGGGAACGTTGATGTGCATGGAGATTTAGCTGTAGTTAAGATAGTTGCCTCTCTTCATTGAGCTAACCATAATATCTTATCTGAGCCAATGATTACAATCAGTATTCAGCATTGATTGTCCTGTTAACCCCGCACAGCTGCATCTGGTTCTCTCCCCGCCTCGCGTCCACGGTCGGAAAGCTTGCAGGTCATGCGATGATGACCACGGATACTATCTACTTGTCTTTCAATGCGAGCCAACTGCAAGAGACGTGGCCCAAGCTTCCAGGCCAGCTTAGCACCGCCTTGCCCCATTAGGGTAATGTTTCCATGGCCCAAGAAGCGTTACTGCATGAATCCGGGTGGAGACGGTTCCCTGGCCCGATCCCCGCCTTCCATCCGATCTGCTTGACTGTCTTATCATTCCTGCACCTCAACGGTTGTGTTGGCCTGTTTGAGTATCCATCATCCATGATCGGCTCGGCCACGGAATTGCTGCCGTTGCTGGTCCGGCCAGTCTGGCCGGCCACTGCCCTCACCAGCTGTCAATAATAGCTGGACCTTCCGCCAGGGACTGCTCACAAAATGTATAACAGATTATCTGTTCAACTTCAACGAATGAACCCCCAAATTACCAAAAGATAGAGAAGATGGCAGCGACACAACAACGTGTGGTCATCATAGGAGCTGGAATTGTGGGCGCCAACCTCGCCGATGAATTGGTCTCCCGGGGATGGCAGGACATCACTGTCGTCGAGCAGGGCCCGTTGAACTTGCCGGGCGGCTCGACCTCCCACGCCCCTGGACTGGTCTTCCAGACCAATGGTTCGAAGACGATGACTCGTCTCGCGCAATATACGGTCGAAAAACTGCGATCGCTAAGCGATGAGAATGGCATGCCGTGCTTCAATTCGATAGGAGGTCTCGAGGTGGCCACCACACCGGCCCGAGTCGAAGAGCTGAAGCGCAAATACGGCTATGCGAAGTCCTGGGGTGTTGAAGCGCGTCTTCTGACAAAGGAAGAGTGTTTGGAGAAGTACCCCCTGCTTAACAAGGATCTCGTACTCGCTGGTCTTCACACTCCGACCGATGGTCTCGCGTTAGCTGCCCGCGCAACCCAGCTGCTCATCGCCCGGACCCAGCAGGCCGGGGTCCGCTACCGAGGCTCGACGCTTGTTACAGGCATTGAAAAGACAGGATCTCGTGTGACGGGCGTGAATACCTCCCATGGTGTAATTCCTGCTGATATCGTCATCTCCTGCGCCGGCTTTTGGGGCGTCGAAATCGGTGCTATGGCTGGGGTCTCTATCCCTCTCCTACCTCTTGCCCACCAGTATGCAAAGACAACCACAGTCCCCGCTCTAGCGAACCGCGACGTTAACAACCGTCCGAACGGAATGAACGCGAGTATGCCCATCTTACGGCATCAGGATCAGGATCTATACTACCGGGAGCATGGAGATCAGGTGGGAATTGGATACTATGGACACCGTCCAATGCCGGTGGTGGCGGCGACTTTGGGTCAGACTCCGGAGCATGTGGACGAGAAGCATATGCCCTCGCGGCTTGAGTTCACGGCCCAGGACTTTGCGCCTGCCTGGACAGCCTCGAAGGAGCTTCTTCCTGTCCTCCGTGATACGCAGTTGCAGGACGGATTCAACGGCATCTTCTCATTCACCCCAGACGGAGGACCTCTCGTCGGACAAGCCTCGAAACTCGATGGTTTCTACGTAGCAGAAGCCGTCTGGGTCACCCACTCGGCAGGAGTCGCGCGAAGCATGGCGGAGATGCTCACATACGGTGCATCCACCATCGACCTCACAGAATGCGAGCTATCTCGCTTCGAGGAAGTACAGCTATGCCGGGACTACGTTAATGAGACCTCGCAACAGAACTTTGTAGAGATCTACGACATTCTCCATCCCCTACAACCGAGAGAGTCCCCCCGACAGCTCCGAGTGAGCCCCTTCTATGAGAAACAACGGGCACTCGGGGCCTTCTTCCTCGAACTTGGCGGCTGGGAACGCCCATTCTGGTACGAATCAAACGCACAACTCCTCCACGCCCTCCCAGCACAATGGCAGCCACCTCCCCGAGACACCTGGTCATCGCGATACACCTCCCCCATCACCGCCGTGGAAGCATGGAAAACCCGCAACGCCGTCGCCATGTACGATCTGACCTCATTTCACCGCGTACAAGTATCTGGACCCGGCGCAGCCACCCTCCTGCAACGCCTAACCACAAGCGACATTACCGCCCCTCCCGGCGCCATCACACACACCCTTCTTCTTAACTCCCAGGGCAAAATCCGCAGCGACATCTTCGTCGCTCGCCTTGAACCCGACCTCTTCCAAATCGGCGCCAACACCGCAACCGATGTCGCCTACCTATCCGTCGAAGCCCGTCGCCAAGGACAACACACCCCAGCCCAATGGGTCCAGGTCTCCGACATTACCGGTAACACCTGCTGCATTGGCCTCTGGGGCCCTCGCTCACGGGCCGTAATCCGCGCCGTATCCAACGACGACTTCTCCACCACCGCACTCCCCTACATGTCCGTCAAACGCGCCACTGTAGCCGGCATCCCCATAATCGCACTCCGCAAATCCTACGTCGGCGAACTCGGCTGGGAAATCCAAACAAGCGCTGAATACGGCTCCCGTCTGTGGGATATACTCTGGCAAGCTGGCAAACCACACGGTCTTGTCGCCGCAGGCCGCAGCGCTATGAACGCCTTGCGGCTGGAGAAAGGAATCCGGACATATGGAGTAGACATGACGACGGAGCATGATCCGCTCGAAGCGGGAGTTGCGCATCTTGTTGACCTCGAAAAGGCGGGAGAGTTCGTGGGCAAGGCTGCGCTTCAGAGTGCGGCGCAGCGGAAACAGCCTCCGCTGAGGCGCCTGCGGTGCTTGACTGTGGATGATGGTCATTCTATGGTTATGGGCAAGGAACCTGTCCATTTTGAGGGCAGGCCCGTGGGGTATATTACTACTGCGGTCTTTAGCTATACGACGAAGAAGCCCGCTGCGTATGCGTGGCTGCCCGGGAGGGTTCGCGAGGGGGATGCAGTTGTGATTGAGTATTTTGGGACACAGATTAAGGCGACGGTGTCGGCTGATCCGTTGGTTGATCCCAGAGGGAGTAGGTTGCATCGGGAGGATACGGGTGAAGATGCGTTTGAGACGCCGTTGAAGAATCGTCTGTAGAGTTTTGGGATTAGCGATGCGCTATATTTGGCGTAACGGGTTAATGATGAATGAAGTGAATGAAGGGATAAAGGTTTGATTTTATCATCTGTACATAATTAGTTCGTCTACAGTAGATCAAGCCACCACTGTGTTTCGTCCGCAACATTGTCATTCTTCTATATAGACTCTACCAAGACACCCTACGGACCCTCCATTCAACGACAAGTAGCAACAACAGACAGAACCCGCTGCTCCGATATATGAAGCGAGTCTCGGAATTAGTTCAACATATGGGATCCGCTTGCTTACTTATGAATGTCACATAGGTAATCGTCACGTATCTTCAAGGAAGTGATGCTGTGGTGCCTATATGTAGCTTATGGTTGCCTGTTGTGAGGAATCATTTACTCAGCTCTTGCTATATGCATGTAGTAGGGGCGCGGGGGTCGAGGTGTCACTCACAATGACAGTGGTATCTTCTTGAGCAGCTGCCGAGGAGGTTAGGAATCCAATGCTTGTAAGGAGAATATGATGTTTTCTTGCATTTTATTTCAAAATATTGAGAACTCAGCTTCGACGGATTAGATTTATGTGATTCAGAGACCGAGACAGAGATGTAGGAAGAACGAATTGCTCCGATTCTATCTTCAGAAAGTCTACACGGACATTTTATAACAGTAGCAGTTGTAAATCGAGCAGTTATTAAGGAGCAATGTGGGATATGTCGTTACTGCCTCTCATACTAATGGTGCATTTCTTGGGTACTAGACCCACAACCACCGCGGAGGCACTCGGTCGACCGTTTGGGATGACTAGGAGTGAATAGGTAGCATCTAATTGATAATGAACTAGCTACGGCCATTCCCCTCCAGTCCCAAGGGGGCAAAAAAAAAACACTCTATCCGCAGAGTAAAGCAGTGATCATCGTTGGGATGAAAAAATTCCAATGGGGCACAAATGTTGTGTAACTCCAACATGCATTCTCATTCTTCACTTCCCCCCTTTCCCCCGGATTACCCTGTGACCTTCCACCCGTCAAACACCCTTTTTCCTGGGGATGAGGAGTCCTGTTTGTCGGATGCAGGTATGATACATTTGCTCATGTCCACCAGACGTTGGATAGACCGGGGCATAACCTGTCTTGGAACAACACCTGCCTGGATATGACAGCTATCTATGCAGTAGGGTTGATGTATGTTTGGGGTTTCGGATCTCGATGGTTACATTCACAGAACAAGAACAGGCTAACACCTCAGCTACGCCACAAGTAATACACGTATGCCTCAATTGATATCCTCATTGACTGAGTCATATGATAGTATCAAAAGTCAGCCAGCCATCGGCTCTCGGCTCTGAAGTGGAATGTGGGGTCTTTTCCTCATAAATGTACATGCTACTGTCAAGGGCCAACTCCTCCTTGCTGATGCCCGCGGGACCTTAGGGCTGATGATCACAACCAAGCATGGCATATAATCTCAATTTGGTCACCGCGGGCGTCGGCCTTGTCCGTTTTTGTTTTATTATTCTCGGACTGATACGCTCTTCTACCTGTAATGATAAAGGCTAGGTTTCAGAATGACATCCATTTCTGAGAGTTCTACAACACTCAAAGTAGACACATGAGACTTAAGTAGAAACTAAACGAGCGGAACCCGCTTCTGGCCGGCCGAGCTTAAACTCCACAGCTACTTAGTACATGTAGAGAACTCCATACAACGGCCAAAGCTATCATTTTTCCCCCTTGGACAACCTAACCAACCACCCATCCTTGAGCGCAAGAGCAGCCTAGGAATCTCGATATCTAGCAGCAGAACTGGTGTTTCCCCGAGTACTATTAGCATATTGCAAGTGCTCAAAAGAAAAGAAAGTCTGATTCTGCAGCTGGTAGAGAAAAGACTTACCGCCCATCCGCCATTAACGAAGCACCCACCAAAACAGGGAGTCGTGTTGCAGCATACTTCGGCGCCATCGGCGACTTCCTCCCCATTGGCAACATCGATACTGTCGGCAACGTTGGCGTTGTTGATGCTGTCCGCGACCTTGGCCACATCTGCAACGGATTCGTCTCTCTGCTTGACAACACCTGCCATGCCTAGTCCGGCGAGGAGGGGTACAAGGATCATGGAAGGCTTCATGTTGTGGGTGGAGTAGTGTTCACGGGGGGATAAACAAGAAAAAGCGACGGTATTTGGAGGTTGATGGATTGTTGAGAGGATGTGATTGCTTCGGTTTGTGCTGGTGAGGTCCCGGATGATATGGACTCTTTTATACCTGATGGTGAGGCTAGGGTTCCTCGACAAAAAGATATTAATAATAATAAACGGGTTAAGAATGATCTGAGTCTTTTCGAGCCCTTCCTTTTGCTACGCAAGGAACGATATTGACCGCAAGATTAGTGTAACAGGTTTTTCTCTCTTTCTCAGCCGAGCCACAGGATAGTGGTGAGATACTACCGCGGGCAGTTATTCAAACAAGGTAGTCAACGAAATACTCATTTCATTCAAAGTGATGCACGTCCCTGGAGAGGTATCCCATAATGTGACTATACTAGAGGCGGCAAGTAATAACTATCAGTAGTGGTGACACGACATGTCATTGCAATTGATACTCTGTGGCTTGTTTATCAAAGGCAGATGAGTGGGTATTGGCGTCTATTGCTGTTCGTTTGATGGGCTGTCATCGTTGAAATTACCCTAGATATACCACACTTAGTTCTTCTCGGTATATATGATCTGCTCCTCATTGATTAGGTATCATCTGCCGTTAGGTGCAAGAAAATGAATTTCATCCCTTATGTTATGTGTTATTGGGTACTTCTGCCTGCCTATCTGCTTCATCATCGAGTAGTATACCGTTAGATCTTCAGCGGGCTTCGCCTCCCCATAATCCCTGCGGAGACTTTCCCCGCCTCATGCAAGGCTTGCGCAAGTCACAATTCCTGTTTGATAACAAAGTTCATTGTAGTAAAATCTATGCTATTGGCTACTGATACCTAGGAGTTATGATGCACCCCGCATGACGCATGATGTGGGGGAAGGGTTTCCTGTCTTGTTGTGTCGAGCCATAGTGACGGTTTGCGGGGAGAGTTGCAGGAAGGGTCTTGCAAGTTCTTTCTCCAGCTATCCTCAATTTACCAAATCCTTAGTTATCGAATGGATTGCTCTCCTGCTCTTCTTTACGATCGTGATCAGCACGCAGAGTAAGCGCAAGGAGGATAACTGCAAGTTCAGTCATATGTGACTCTGAGCGAGTATCAAAAGGACCAAATTCATGCATCGTCAAAAATGATCGAGGACGTTCTGGATCTTGAAAGCCATGCTCAATGTATCTGAGGTACTCATCGTCGTACTCGGCAAAGCTGAGCCAAATTTCGTGCCTGTCTTGTGAGACTTGAAAGCGCCTGAAAAGCAAAATCTGAGTTAGTTTGTAAACACGATGCAAACATCGGAACGGACTGCTTACCGGAACGGAAGCTTTCCTGGTTGTTGGGGATGACTCTTAAGCCAGGCGACAATTTGTGCACCCTCCTGCATGCAGATCGCTAAGCGGGATTCTCGTCGCAGGGCTGCTTTAACTTCGATTAAAGCACGCACCTCTCCGTCAACTTTGCCTCGAAGATATCCATCCGTCCTTGCCTCATATTCTGCATCATTGAACTTGGCTTTGAGCGACTTCCGATGAATGGTCCAGGAGCTTCCAAGATAAGGGAAATAATCTGTGAGAGCTTGGAGAAAGTTTACTAGAGCAACATTTACAATTTGCTCGTCATCGACCGGAGGGTACGTTTCGCGTAGGAGCTCCTCGGGCCCCAGAGAGCCTCCCGTTGAGATGGACGGCGGTCCGGTGAAGATATCGTCGTCTTCGTCATTTCCTGGAGTTACTGGTTCTGTTGCGGTAGTGTTCTCTTCGAGAGTAAGCTGCTCAAGAGAAGGCTGGTTCGATTTAGTCGGTGACGTGTAGGGCTCTCTGCGTTCTTTGCGTTCTCTTTCGCGGGTGCGTTGGCGCGTGTGCTTGGAGACCGGTGAGAACATGACACTGTTGGAAACTTCATTGCTTTTGACCTTTGCTGCCTCGGCTTGTGAACTCTGAACCAAGAAGAAGTTCCCTTCCTTATGTTTTCCCTTAAAGCTCTCGCGATAGGTGTTCCAGGAGGGATAAGACTGAAGCATGTCCTTAGCCTGGTTCATCCACGGTTCCAGGCCAAGCTGTTTGGGATTCAGTTTAGTCCTGTGTGACTTCTTGCGAAGAACACGAAGAAGCAGATACTGGCGCAACGTGATCTTCGATGCAGAGAACAACTTTTCCTCGTGGATGAGTTGATTGAGGATACCCTCCTTCTCTGCCAATTCAGCCCACTTGGCGGGGTTTGCAGGGACATCCTTTTGTGATTGAGTCATGACTCAAGGCACAATATGCAAAGGCCAAGTAACGGAGGGGGTCGCATGGACTATATCAATGGCTACAATCCCAGAGAGTAGCGTTGGTCAGGAGAGGAAGTAGCGAGGGGGGCGATGAAGGAAAGGACGGCGCCTACGAGGACTGCTAGTCCATGAGTTGCTATTTAGAGAGATGCCACCAAGGCTGGCGGCTTTCACACTACTACGTAGCTGTTGTGTTGGCCAGTGAAGGACCTGCGCGGCAGCAGGGATCTAGTGAAGGTGGAAGGATGCCGGTCAATTACCATGGACTACCCATAATCACTCCTCATCTCAAATGAGACAGACGCCTGATCAACCTAGTAGCTCTAACCTGTAGATTTATTCCTGATAATGATTTCCCCTCGCGGAAGTTCATCAACGATTATAATGCGACATTGAGACAGTTTTATTTAAATATCAAGATGTATCTCGAATACGCCAGTGAATGGATCGGCGCATGCATCGCAAAGAGGGGAAGAAGCTGTCACTGCGTCCCTCTGGGGCTGGAGTGGATAGTCTGGAACCGCCCAGACCCATGATACGTAGTTGCGGGCGGTAAAAAGAGGGCGCCACGGTTGCCCCGGGACCGCCCTTTATCTAATCAACATCCTCCTCCGCCGTATCAACCTACAGTTACGCCTACTCCTTCCTTCCTCCAACTGCCTTCTTCTTCGTACTCCCCCAACCACCACCTCTCCTACCATCAATTTTCGGTATTCTCTTCTAGAATACCCTGCTAAAATGCTGGAAAGTAAAGAACATCAAGCTCGTCGACATGCCATCAAGGCCGTCGCGCAAAGCATCTCGCGTCGCCCGGAAAATCGATACCAGCACAAAGACTTGGATGACCTCCCTATTCAGATCCTCCACATGCCCCTATCCGCCGATGGGACCCCATTATTCAAATCTGAATTTTTCTGGCCCTACCAGAAGCCCCTTCCAGACCCGAATGAGGAGATAGAGTTCTCGCCCTCCAGCCCGAACGAAGCTATGAATCCGCTGGACGAGGCAATGGTCCTCAGCGACTATTTCGGGGAATATATCACCGATGCCACACTTATTCACAAGGTTGATTGGCAACATAATCCCAGACAGTATGATTCATTTCCGTCCACAAGACAGAACCAATCCATCTTTCAACGAACATATTACTGATCGGTGCCCAGGACCATTGACTTTCCATGTATTCTTCACGAAATTGACCAGGAGAAGTCTTTGGACTGGCGTGTGGATGGTATAACTGGCATTCCGGGTGGACCTCGAATGAAATCTCTTCTACTCGAAAGTGTGGATGCGGACGATGAACAGATCACCCGTGGGGAGATCCTATGTATGTGTCGGATCATGACTACTTGCCTCCGTTCCAGAATGTATCGTGCCCATCAAGTCAGTCCGGTGAGTGCTGTGAATTCCTGCTTTTATCTTATTTCTATTTCCGTGGCTAATTTGCCCAAAAGGTACTACTCATTTCTTTCGTGGGCCCGAGACATGCTCGCATTCTCCTGGGCCATCATGATGGCACCAACCTGGTGATCCGTCAGTCTAAACGCTTTGCATTCTGGGAACGGAACATACCCGACATGAAAATCTTGCTTCGATGGTGGTGCTCGTCTGCGATCGGGGATACCATTAATGGGTAGGAGAGGCTTAGTACTCACCTGATACTGCCTCACATCGACGTTATGTCTGGTTTATATTCGTTCAAGCATGTTCGGGTCGGTGTTGTGGGTCCGGTTTGGTTATATTTAACGAAAGGAGCGGGATTATGGCGTTAATTGATGGGGTGTATTGTTTGTAGCCCGTCGGGTACAATAAGGGCTACGTACATCTTATATGTCTTTACGATGGATTGGAGTTGGGGAGCACTGAAGAAACCGTGGCTTTTTAAAATAGTCCCATTATTGTCTGTCAATGATATTGAGTTGATACCATCAATATTAGTTTAACTAGATACCGTATAATTAATATCATTCAGATGCTTTTATCATAGTACTATAATTGATGCCTGAAGCTGGCAAGAGTAGCCGTTTTCCCACTCCGATTGCCGTATACATGATGAACACTATCCCGTATCATTTATTGGAATAGGGGAAGGTATCATTGTCAAGTATGGCAATGATCATGCAGAGTGGGATAGTAACGTAAACGAAATGACAGACATAGTTTGGAGTACATGGTGTAGAAACCACATGATGTCTCCATGAGTTGGTAATGACATAGAATCACAGAGCGACTTCATAACCCCTGTTTATGGCGCGAGCATGGGGACTAGTGGGCGCGAGGAACGTAACCCCATGTGTCGCTGCTTTCCTTCCTTGCACCTAGCATCTCTTGTAAAGCAATAGGTATATGCCCTGCACAAAGGTTCTCCACAATTCGAGCTATAGTGTTCTGTACGAAGCAGTACTTTGTCCTTGGGACTTCCAGATATGTTGCATAAGCCTTGGATATACTATTCAGCCTATTTGGGAACTCAGGTTACCATTTGCCAATGATTTGAACACCCAAACAATAAGAGGACGTTCTCAACCAGAATTACGACAGATTGGACCACTTTTATGTTGTCGTGTCAATTCATGTTAAAGCTGTCCAAGTTGAGTATGGTTAGTCATATATCTCACTGGACGCCTTCATAGCTACCACAAAGTACAGTAATATACCTCCTAATAGAACAAAACTTGATGGGAAAGAAGAAGGGGTGGGGATCCTTCGACGAGCTTCTAACAACATACTCGTGACATGTGTGGGGATCGGGATCTCGAAATAAAAACAAATGCACCTCAGAATATCAGTTGGAGACATTAAGTGACACATGCAGGGAATTATGGTCATAAATCGTCCTTACGGAGTATGAGCGGAAGCTGGGAAAGGGAAGATTGGAGAATTGAAACGGCGACAGACTCATCTGCGGGGCTGAATGAAGTCAATGATGATAGACTGGGAAGATTCACTCCGTCTAAGAATGTACTTAAATATGCTAGATTCATGTTTCACAGTGACTTGGGCTGTTACCACCACTATCCCTTGGATACATACGTTGCGTATTCATTCACTCATGCAGTATGGTGGGTGAGGAGGGATAAATGATAAGGGATAGAAAGAGAAGAGAGGTGACGTCAAGGCGTAAGGAAGTTACTAGTTGACTGCGCAATATACTAGACCTATCGCAGTGGTCGTCTCCTAGTATTCCTACCTTAGCCCTAACATGAGAAGTCGCGGCACAAGGACGAAAAAAAGTTCTATCTTATGTGCCGTTTACCAATGGTGTGGGGCGTCTGCCCCGTGCACAAACAAGCAATGTCACCGAATGACTTTGACAGGAAATCAGATGCTCCGATCCATAGTGCCTTACTGCTGAACATGCCAGGGGCTTCTTTGAATGCGATGCCTGATACATATTTCCCCTACCACAGTACGTACCCACTTGTTTATTCCGCGGGGCATTTCCATAGGACCTGATAGGCCGACAAGCAACATCATCCACAAAGTAAATCCGGGCCGATGATCCTCTCCCAACCGAAAAGCTTCTTTCATCTATCCAGGAATCGAATTTCCACCGCTTCTTTTTTTTCCCCTCTTCCGTCACCGCAGCGATGGATACCCTATAGCACGAACCTTCCCGAGAAATAACCAAATAATAGAAAAAATATATACACGGGAATAAACAAAGAGAAAAAGAAATGGACATCTCTCAACTCTCAACCCAGCTCACCGAAGCACCAACCCCCTTCCCAAATTGTTGTCTATCAATCTCCAGCACCCTAATAGCCCACCTAGCATGGCTCCTCCCTAAGAGACCCGCGTTCACCCTATCAATAGGCTGTGGATCTGGTCTCCTGGAAGCTCTGATACTACATAACCACCCCAACGTCCAAACCACGGGAATAGAAGTCTCCACGTCAGTCAACCGCTACCTTGCAGAAGAGGACTTCGACATGGTCAGCGGGACTTGGGATCTGTATGCGCGTGCGCCGCAGGCGGCAGCATGGATGTTTGTTTACCCGCGTGAACCGAAGCTGGTTAGCAAGTATATTGAAATGTACGGCGATGGACCTGAGTCGTCAGTGCAGATGATTGTGTGGTTAGGACCTCGTGCGGATTGGGCTGATTATGAGCCGTGCTTTCGCAATTCGTCGTTCTCGGACGTGTGTATTCCTGAGGATGTGGGGATGATGGAATTTGAGATGTTGGCTGTTATGCGCAGGAGGTAGCGGTGTGTTTGATGTTTGAAGGAGAATTATTATCTATCAGCAGTGTATATATCTGTTTGAGTCATCAGACAAGGCCTGCGAGATAATCAATTTCCTGGCTGGTAGCAGATGGGTTAGGGAGATGGATCTGCGGAAGATGCCAAAGGGTTCGCTGATCGTTACTACTACTACTCCTGCTGCTGCTGTTACTACTATTTGATGTCTGATCGGTCATCCAAGGAATCTTACCGACGTCATCCTATTTCCAAGCCTTGATTTGCTACATATCACTATCATATTTTAGACATGTTAGGCTTCAGATCTATGACAATCAAATTAAGACTTCAGCAGGAGGATTCCAATCAATTTAGATTTCGTTCCCCAAGTGCTGCTGCAAGTAATAAAAGGCTAGTAACTGTATATCACATTCTATTTGGCTTCCTGTTGGTAAAAGCTCCGATTCCGCCATTTACTAGGGTCCACACATAGGTTTCTCTTAACCCTTCCCTTCTCCCTATCCCTATCATGCATCATGCGGGATGTCCACGTCACTCGGATCACAATGCTACAAAGACAGGCGGTGGCTTGCGTGAACCTTGCATGGGGGTGTAGAGAGAGCTATGCAATGAGCGACTTCCGGTAGCCAATGAGAAGCAATAGGTGTATCGATCATGCTAGAGCTGAATCGTGGTAGTAGATGAGATATAAGGGTACTCCATACGATTGTAAAGCGGAATAGAGGTAGGTCATCCCTTGGAAGCTCATTCTCAATTCCGCAACTATATTCCGTGGATCAAGGGAGGTCTTCAGATGTCCTGTGTAGTGATCTTAGCGTCGACAATTGATAGTAGCCCCAATCAATTCGCATCACGTCATTTCTAGTCTTGGAATGCTTGCGTAACTTCACTTCCCGCGTATACTGTAAATGGGCAACAATCAGTTCAACTTTTCCCCAATGATCATCCTAAATTGCTAACTATAGTCAATGCATGAGATAGGCATCCTACCTTGATGCAACCCATCAGTACGGTACCACTTTCTTGCAGAGAGAACATGATACCATCTCGTCACTTAATGACCTAAGCTAAGGAGATAGGGACAGTCTGTCACACTACATGGCGGTCAATTTCAGCCTTGCGTAGTATAGCGAAGATCTGCAAGCTACAGGAGATTCCATAATCACGGTCTACAAACTATTACTCTAAGCATCTGACCGCAGCCATAGGTTATAAAAAGGGTCTCAAACTCCCGAGAGGAAGACAGCATTCATCAAGCTCACCTCATCATTCTACCATCTCTCATTCTAATACATCACTTTGTCTCCTCTCCAACACCCGACTCCGTCTATCGAGCATCACCCTCCCAACATGAAGGTTTCCATCGCCCTTGTGCCCCTCCTTGCCGGGCTCGGAATTGCAGGCCCCATGCGCAAGAGAGAAGAGCATGTTGCCGGTGTTGCAGATGTTGCGAACAGCATCAACGGTGCCAAGGTTGCTGAGAGTATCAACGGCGCCAAGAGCATCGACAGCATCGACAGCATCAATCGTGCTCGCAGTATCGGTGTTGCGGACAGCATTGACAGCATCAACAGAAGGAGCATTGACAGCATCGACAGCATTAACGGTGCCAAGGTTGCCAATAGTATCAATGGTGCCAAGGTCGCCGGGGTCGCCGACGTTACGGACAGCATCGATAGCATTGATAGCATCAACAGAAGGAGTATCGACAGCATTGACAGCATCAACGGTGCGAAGGTTGCCAACGTTGCGGACGTTGCGAACAGTATCAACCGTGCCCGCAGTATTGATGTCGCCGATGTCGCTGACGTTGCAGGCGTTGCAAACAGCATCGACCGTGCTCGCAGTATTGATGTCACCGATGTTGCTGATGTCGCTGATGTCGCTGATGTTGCTGGTGTTGCTGGCGTCGCCGATGTTGCTAATAGCATCAACCGTCGCAGTATCAATGTTGCCGATGTTGCCGATGTTGCTGATGTCGCCGGTGTTGCTGGTGTTGCAGACGTTGCCGACGTTGCCAACAGCATCAACCGTCGCAGTATTGATGTGGCCGGTGTCGCTGGTGTCGCTGGTGTTGCCAATGTTGCTGACGTTGCTGACGTCGCCGACGTCGCCGACGTTGCCAACTAAAAGGATGAACGATTCAAGATCCTTAGTTCATTTGGTGGCCAGTCAATCTTGTTCGTTTGGTCAGTCCCTGCAATCAATTTGATCAACCTTCCAAGCTCGAGACAGCAGTGTTCTAAGAAATCTGCAGCAAAGAAAACTGCACGGTTACAACCAATTCGAACTCATCGAGGGCGCCAACATATGGATGGGATAATTCAGACTAGACGGTTTTGGTAGTTATTGAGAGTACGCTCGACTGGTCAAAACTGATTTCTCTCGTTATGATGAAATGATGATTTCCTTTGGGATACAACTAGCCATCTACCAGATCGAATATGTGGTGGTTAATAAAGATGAGCTATTTTTTTAATCTTATGCCCAGAGGCTCTAGATTTACAGCTTAATTAGACGAAGGAATCATCAGCAGAGTGCTTCATATAGGATATCATAGATCACAAACGGGACGATCCTACTATCAAGCTGTATCCGAGTATAGAGAAGCTCTAACGTCGGTTAAACATCTTATTGCTTAAACGATTCGTTCCATGGGTCTGCAATTCAATAGTCTTCTTTAAGGCCAATCGGGCTGTTAGCTTTATATTTTGACTGATAATATGGTATACCTGAATATCCAAGGTCTGCTGTTTGGGTTACATATGAATAGGACATTCTAATCCTCTGTATGCCGATCATCATATGGATACATGGTGTATAGGAAAGAAACAATATTGTGCTGAGAGGCATTAGTTAATCGGCTGTGATCAGGCCAGCACATTCTCAGAAATTTCATTCACTGGCTTACTGTAGTACCTAGTCTAACAGTTAAGCGGACTAGCCAATTAGCTAGCCTGCTATTTACACACTAAGATACGAACAACCTACGCCACTTTGAGCGTGAGCCCTATCTACTGGTTAGTACTGGCTAGTTGTGCGGCTTGGAATAAGCACTATACAGTAAGCTACAATGAGTTGGCCAGCCACGAAACGTTGCTTACACTATTAAATCCCACTCCCACTCATTTTCTATTGCATTCGAGAAACTATTCTTCGTTTGATTCCATACATGAAGCCTGAGTTGCAACCATGAGCACATCTCACTTTCGAGTTATCGAGCACACCATTCAATGTCCCTCTCTCCGGGAATATCACCATGGAGTCAAAAGTGGTCAAAATCTACAATTAGCAATCAAACAATATGTTCCTCTCAATAATTCCCATCCTGCACCGGATGATATTACAATTATCGCGGGACATGCAAATGGGATTCCCAAGGTCAGGAGGCGTGCTATCAGAATACACCGAAGTCTACCTGCTGGACAAAGCATACTAATACTCCTACAGGAGTGCTACGAGCCTCTATGGGACGACCTTCTTGCAACGAGCAAGGTGAGGATCAAGACCATTTGGTTCGCAGACTGCGCAAATCAAGGCGCCAGTGGAGTCTTAAATGAAGACAAACTGGGTGATGACCGTGAGTTACTGGCACTGTTCTCGAATTTTTAAACAGTCTGATGATTCTCTCCTAGCAAATTGGTTCGACCATTCCAGAGACCTCCTCTCAATGGTCACTCATTTTCAAGACCAAATCCAACCTCCAATTGTAGGAGTAGCACACAGTTTCAGCTGTTCGTCATTGTACGCATCCCACCCACTACCTTAAGCACCTTTCCTTTTACTTCCCTACTACCAAAGAATGACCGTCTGACCAACAATCCAGCGTCCACTTATCCCTCATTCACCCCCGTCTCTTCCACACCCTCATCTTCCTCGACCCCATGATCCAATTCGAAAGCCCCAGCAAGCCAGGTGGCCGCAGCCCTGCCCTCTGGGCCAGCACCCGCCCCGACCTCTGGCCGTCCCAGTCCGAAGCTGAAAAGCACATCCGGAGTAGCCCTTTCTGGCGCAGATGGGATTCTCGTGCGGTCGCAAAATACATTGAACATGGTCTCCGGCCTGTCCCGACGGCTTTGTACCCGCTTGATCCCCCGTCCTCTAACGGAGAGACGTCAAACCCGAAAGTGACACCAAACTCAGTGACATTGACAACAACCAAAGCTCAAGAAGCATGGACATATCTGCGCTTTAACATCACGCCATATGAAGTTGATACTAATAAGGATATGAGTAGTAATAGTGCTGAGCGCTTCCTCAGCCCAGACCTAGCTACATCAGCCAAAGAAGGCACCAACAACCATCCCAGCTACGTTACGACCTGTCCTTGGACAAGTCTCGCTTTCGAGTTTTTGCCGTATGTTCGGCCATCAGTTCTATTTGTTTGGGGAGAGAAAAGTCATATCAATACCCCCGGTGCACGCAGAGATGATAAACTGTTACGTGTTGGCACTGGGCTTGGAGGTAGTGGGGGTGTTCGGGCAGGGATGGCTCGGGATGAGGTTGTGAAAGGGGCATCGCATACGGTTTCCCTTGAAGAGGTGGGTGAGACGGCAAGAGTGGTTTCAGACTGGTTGGTGGAGCAGGAGAAGAGGTATATGGAGGAGAAGAAGTTTTGGGAGGAGTATGATAGCCAGAAGTCGGAGAGGGGTGGGTTGGCGTTGTCGGAGAAATGGATGGAGTGTATCAAGTTGCCGGTTGATACGAAGCGAGAGAGGAAGGGGAGTCGACTGTAGATACTTAGTGGTACTACTGTTAGGTGTATGCCATGTCGAAGATACATGTTGTTCCATCATATTGTTCGGAGCGAAGCGACTTCGAAGTATCTCCGTAGGAGTGATATGCTAGTCAAGGACATATTTATTGATATGCGCTTGTATTGGGTCACAATAACACGGTTTCAAGAATAAAACCAAAGACCCATTACCGCCATATTTACATTGGCCTTAGTAGCAGAAAGTCCAGCTTAACGCCATAGTAATATAGGCTGTGTGATGATAGCAGCATCCTATGGAGTACTCCGACAACACTCCGATATAGTGTGATACGGAAAGACAAACCCGCCACTTACGCATATGTGGTCGGTGCGCATCACGTGCATCCCCGCGGATGGGGCTAGACTAGCGGGAATCCTCCGATCACGGCGTCCGTTAAGCGGATGTTTTTCTCCAGCCAGCAGGAACTCTCTTTCTTACATCCCCTTTAGCAAGGTATTCACAATGGCTGCTGCTGCTAGGACGCTTCGCATAGGTCAATTGCTCCTCTATATCTCTTAATATCTCTCTGCGCCCGTCTAGTTGCTGACATCTTCCCTCATGCAGGTCTCATCCCCGGTGACGGCATCGGCCGAGAGGTCATTCCGGTGAGTCACCCCAGCGAATAGCTCACTTTAGAAACACCAATTCTAATGAAACTCTCTTCATCAGGCCGGCCGGAAGGTTCTGGAGTCTCTCCCCTCCTCCCTGAACCTCAAGTTCAGCTTCGTCGACCTCGATGCGGGTTTCGACACCTTCAAGCGCACCGGTAGCGCTCTCCCCGATAAGACTGTCGAGATCCTCAAGAAGGAATGTGATGGTGCCCTGTTCGGAGCCGTCAGGTGGGTGCTACACTGATATCCTCGTCCTCGTCTATCACTCAATCCCCTTCTAACCAGTTTCTCCACAGCTCCCCCAGCACCAAGGTCGCCGGCTACTCCTCCCCTATCGTCGCCCTCCGCAAGAAGCTCGACCTGTACGCCAACGTCCGCCCCGTCAAGACCACCGCCGGCAGCACCGACGGCAAGCCCATTGACCTGGTGATCGTGCGTGAGAACACTGAGGATCTTTACGTCAAGGAGGAGCAGACCAAGGAGACCCCCAATGGCAAGGTTGCCGAGGCTATTAAGCGTATCTCCGAGAACGCTTCCTCCCGCATCTCCACCATTGCCGGTGAAATCGCCCTCCGTCGCCAGAAGATCCGCAGTGTTGCTGGTATCGCTGGTCTCCGCACCGAGCCCATGGTGACCATCACCCACAAGTCCAACGTTCTCTCCCAGACCGACGGTCTCTTCCGTGAGACCGCCCGCAAGGCCCTCTCCGCCGACCGCTTCTCCTCCGTCCAGGTTGAGGAGCAGATTGTCGACTCCATGGTTTACAAGCTCTTCCGTCAGCCCGAATACTACGACGTCATTGTCGCCCCCAACTTGTACGGTGACATTCTGTCGGATGGTGCCGCTGCCCTGGTTGGCAGTCTGGGACTGGTTCCTAGCGCTAACGTTGGTGATGGCTTCGCTATCGGTGAGCCCTGCCACGGCAGTGCCCCCGATATTGAGGGCAAGGGTATTGCCAACCCCATTGCCACTCTGCGCAGTGTTGCCCTGATGCTGGAGTTCTTGGGCGAGGAGACCGCCGCTGCCAAGATCTACACTGCTGTTGATGCCAACCTCGATGAGGCCAAGTTCCTTTCTCCTGACATGGGTGGTAAGGCTACTACCCAGGAGGTTTTGGATGATGTCCTGAAGAGGCTGTAAAGGGTTGTTGGAAATGACTCTTGATGTATAAATAGCGAGATAAAAGAATAAGCTTTTAGAGCGAATATGATGTCAACTTCCTTATGAAAATGGAGGGGTCTGTGGTAGTAGATTACTATGATGCGTATCTCACTAAAACTACGGGAGGCTTAAGACGGTAAGGCGGGCTATGCCATTGTCTAACATCTCTGATCCCGTGAGCAGGTAATCGACAAGAGGCAGTCTAGAATGATCATGGCACGTGCCGATTCCATCTAGGGATTCCCAACACAAGAAACACAGCAAGTTGAACAAAGGTGGACAAATACCAAAGCGACACATATTTGACTGGCTGATCGCAGATGCAGTGACACGTATTGAGCCATTTGTCTGAAGGAATCTGACAGATCGTTAATTGTCATCACAGCCGATGGAGTACTCCAAAGGTGGGTTGTTACATACGATGTACTACTAAAGGCTTCGGGGAATTCTTTACCTACTAACGTTAACAAATGACTCTGTCCTCTTACAAAGATACACTCAGCTTCAGCCACCGCGATTGATTATCTCAAAGTTCCCAATCGGGTATCGGGCGCGGCTCGTCAGCTGAACTCCTTGACAAAAACGGTTCTTTGCTTTTTAG